TCACTGCAGTGGCTTCTCTCTTGTTGCAGAGCATGGGCTGTAGGCACGCAGGCTCCAGTAGTTGCAGCGTGTGGGCTCAGTAGTTGTGGTGCATGGGCTTAGCTGCTCCGCGGCATGTGGGATCCCACACCAGGGATTGAACCCGTGCCTCCTGCATTGGCAGGAGAATTCTTAACCACTGTGCCACCAGGGAAGTCCCTGCATCTTTAAATGGCTTAAAAAAAGTCAAAAGAAGAATATTTTGTGACACGTGGAAATTATACAAAATTCAAATTTAAGTATACATAAATAAAGTTTTATTGGTTCACAGCCACACTCTGTTTTGAATATTGCCTATGGCTACTTTCATGCCACAATGGCGAGTTGAGTAGTGTGATAGAGACTGTGTGGCCCACAAAGCTGAAGATATTTACTCTCTGGCCCTTTAATGAAAAAGTGTGTGACCCAGGTGTAGGAGAAAGACAGAAGTAGAGGATGGGGCGTAAGAAGGAGGTATTAGCCCTTGAGAAACATAGATGAGATTCCAAAAGTGCATATTACATTGTTTGTGTCTTCTTAGTCACCCCTCTAGATATTGTGTAATAGGTTTATCAGGATGCTAGCTCTTTTCCTCAATGGAAAATAAATAGAGATGGTAAAAATTATTTATTTTTTGGCATTTCAGGGGTTTCTCTCTGTGAGAAATAGTTTGGAGACAAGACTACATTTTTCAGTGGGCTGTGTACTGGGTCACCTGTGGGGCACACAGGTTTTCAAAGGTAGTAGCACATAGGCAGGGGGGCTCTGAGAGAGGAGGAAGTTAATGATAGAATCAGCAGGATGGTGGTGGAATGTTGTGCAGTGTGATGTGATGGTCTTGGGGGAAACCCTTATTTTTCCACATCAAATTTCCCTAGGGGGGAAGAAACTTCTGCTCCTTTTTCCAAGAGGGAATTGTACTATAGCAAACACTTTTGCTTTCTTTCCCTACTTGCTTCCATTGGAATCACTTTACCAGTGGGTGTGAAAACTTTCCTTTAAAACAAGATACAGGTTCAATGCTGGCTTGCTTTCTCTCTTGCAGTGGGCTTTCTTCTGCTACCTAACAAGATGGTGGGCATACTTGGGCATCAGTACCTGTCTCAGGATGCTTTCCAAAGGCAGCCCTAGAAACCTATCATTCTCTCTGATCTTCTGATTCCATTTGTGAGACATGCTTTAGGCTGGGCTGGCTATATGAATTTTCAGATCTAACTTTCTCCACAGACAGGTCTCAGGATGCACATTTACAGAGAGGAAGTTCCTAGTCTCATTTTCAGTCTAGTTTTAGTATGGATCCCTGCACTTTGTGGGATATTAGATACTTACCTCATCCAGGTAATAAAGATGACACTCTAATGAGATGCTCATTTGGTTCCTTGTGTCTATTCGCAGTCGGTTAGAACCTGAAGAAGATGGGTGATTGACATTCCATGGCCTTCAACATTCATGACCATAAATTCAGAAAGACTGCAAATATGATGATATGCTTGGTGTCTGGGTTTCCTCAGGAAGATGATGAAGGGCAAAGTTTGTGCCATGTAGGCATGAGGAGACAAACTTAAATGGAATGCAGAAAGCAAGAACTTGGTGTTCTATTCAGATGTCTAATATCTTCATAGTATTCTGTAACCTGGAGCTGCTAACTTCTGTCCCACAGCCTATCACAGTCCCAGTTATGCAGAGTAACTGTAGAGCTCAAGATGGAGAAAGTAGATATTTTCCAAATCCACTCCCTAAATCACAGAGTTATCCTATCTTAGCTCAGCTGATAACTTGATGCTATAAGACATCATCTTCTCCTCTTCCTCACTGCAAACAGACCTTGGTATGCAGTTCTAAGACTGATCTTGATTCATGTTCCTTTACTTTATGTTTCCAAAGGCTTCTTATACTTGCTTTGTCTTTTGCTTTATCTTCCTTTTCTAGTCTCAACCCTAGTCCCTTCTTTTATTAGTCAACCCCAAGAGGAGTGACTTGCAATAATTCTCAACTTGCTTAAAAGTATACAGAATTACATCTGTGTATATCAGACTTTAGAGTAAGGGATTCGGAGCTTCTGCAGGAATTATAATATCTAGTATATATATAGATAATATTATGCTATTATGTACCAGGAACAATACTAGATTCTTTACTTTGTCTCATTTAAGCCTGACTGGTTTGTATGTGTGTATAAAACATATATACAATAATATCTAACAATATGTAATAAACATGCATAATGATATATATATATATACACAGTATATACAACATGTGTATATATACACAATATGTTATATATAAAAATAAATAAAAAGAGAAAAAATACTCTAGTATTGTTCCTGGTACATATATACATTTACTATAATTAATACTGTCCATTGAGAATAGCAAAAATAGATTTTGATGAATAAAAAAGGTTCAATTAGAAAAATGTGGAGAATAAATATATTTTTATTTTTGTTATTAAAACAGAATAGAAATTGATCTCAAATTTATCCCCATACTTGATTTCTAGCTTCAATTATGCATATAACTTAATGGACTAAGACCATATTTCATCATAGGCATACAATATAAGGCCAGTGGAAAGCATCAGACATAACTTCATTTTACATACGTGCCAACTGAGATCTAGCCTGTGCAATTGGTTCCCAAGATTTTCTGGCTCTTTCCACTACACACAGATGCAAAATACCTTGATGAAATCTGGATGTTTAAAAAAATCTGAATTTTTTTTTTTGGCCTCTCCAGATTTTTGGAAAAATGTTTTCACTTTTAATTTGCATGTTAGTTCCCATGCAGTCAAGCCTTTGTCCTCTTCAACAAGAAACTATGATGTAACTACAAACAAAGAGTTTGAAGTTGAAAACTGGCTTGGAGTATCATATACCACTAGAGTACCTGGAACTGTGGAACTGATTCTTGGAATAAATCATTACTAATGGTTTCCCATTGGGGGTTGGCCCTTCTGATCACTAACTCAGCCATGATGAAACGTTGCTTCTCAAAATTGTGGGTTCTTTTTAGCTCTGACCAACTGAATACTTATAGTATATTCTGGGATACATGTGTTTTGCTTAGGTGGCAACATTAGGAAAGTGGAAGAAGGATTTCTGTGTGCCATTTTCAAAATGAAATTAATGGCTCCTTACCTCTTGTTTCTTTAACTGGTCTGCTAGTCCCAGAATATCAGGGATCATATTATTATCATATATAATATCATCTTATTATTAAAACAGATTCAAAAACAAAAACAAAACAAAAACCCACTAGCTCAAAATCTACTTCCTTCAGGAAACCTCCCATAAGCAACCATAATATACCTAACACGTTGAACCATTCAAATAAAATCTCAGAATACTAAATTTCATTAAAAAATTTTAACATATACATTTGTTGTTACTTATCTCTGAATGTCTTTTAAGTTTTCTCCAGTTATTTACTTAAAATTTCCGCCTATAGCAGGCAGTCATGGATTTGAGTCTTGGCTCACTTTCTAGCTCCATGATTTTGGGCTAATCAGCGTCGTCATCTGTAAAATAAGGATAAAAATGGTACCCATCTCATGGGATTGTTATGAAGGCTGAGATAACATGAAGAAAACTTAGCATAGTACCTGGTACCTAGTAACCGCTCATCAAATGTCTGTGATGATTATTGTCTGTTCATTTTATTTTTTCATGGGGGCAGTAAGGTATATGGGGAAGAGCATGGGCTAGCAGTGAGTCAGTTTTGTGGTCCAGTTCTGTCAGCCACTTACTATGTGCAGCATCTTGAGAAATTTAATTAACCCTTTGACCCACTATTTCCTCATTACCAAAATGGATATATGGTAGTAATATCCAGTTCACTGAACTGTTGTGAGGAAAGTGCCCATTATGTCCCTTTCCTCCCAACTGATTACCAACAAGTTAACATTTATGAAGTCTATTCCAAGGGCAAGGCAACGCACAGGGTGTCACAGGAAGTTTCAAAAGAAAATAAATGCGTGTTCTCCATCGCGGGCAAGGAGAGCAGCTAACAAAATCAAGCCAACCATGCACAATGAATTGCTGATGAATATGCAAATTAAAGTGGGTGTCTAATCCATGCTCATTTATATTTTTTCCCAGTGTGAATGTGTTAGAATTTTCAATGAGAGCCTTTTTCCTGGTATTTTCACAAGTCAGCAGATCCTCAAAACCCAACTGAAATAGAGGACTGATGAAAGACCTTAGAAAAACTGGAACAGTCACAAACCATTCCAGTGGCCAGTGTCACAGAAACTAGAATAAAACAAACCTCTTCTTTCTAAGCAAGGGCAGGTCTCAGTCGTCTCTGGAGGTAAACGGAAGGACGAAAACCGGTCCAGTCACCCGGACACCGACATAAGCGGTGGCAGAGGGCTCCTTCCCAGCATCACCAGCCTCCCATCCCGGACATGGAGGATTTTCCTCAGCGTCGTGACTGACCCGAGGCGTGGCGCCGGGCCCGCCCGGCTGAGGAGTCGCAGCGGCCCGGAGAACTCCAGTCCTCACACGGTTAAATCTCTCCCAAGGAGACTGGAAGAGGGAGGGTCCCCGCCCCCGCCCACGAAAACCAGGAGAATCTCGTCCCGGCGCCCCGCCCCCATCTCCTCCCCCCCCCCAACTCTGGACGGACTCACTGGCCGCACCTGCCCGCGCGCACACGCCCCCCGCACGCCCTGGGCGCCAGGCCTCAGAGCTGCCGCCGCCGCAGCCGACGGACCTGGGCGTTCGCCCTCCCTATCCCATCCCCGAGCCACCTCCGCCATCGCCGCCCTCGGCAAGCGCCCGCCGCGGCTCGTCCTCACCGCCCGGCCTCGGCGCGGGCCGCGGCCGCTACAGCCACAGCCGCCGCGCTCCTCTCCGCCGCGGGCCGCGGACGCCGCCGCCTTAACCGCCGAGCGGGCCGGGCGCGAAAGCTGAGGAGAACCCGGGCCGGGGCGCGAGGGCGCGCGGGCCGCCGCCGCCGCCGCCGCGGGCGTTCGCGGTGCTCGGGCTCAGGCGAGGACGGTCTCCGTCTCCTCCTCCGACCTCCTCACTCCTCACCATCCTCCTCCCGCTCCTCAAAAGCACCCCCGGTCCCCACCCCCTCACGCCCCACCCGCGGGAACCAGGCCTCGGGAATTCAGGGGAGTGGCTGTGAGGGCGCGTCGCGGCTCCCAGCTCGGCCAGACCCTCTTCCAAGACATGGTCTGATTCTCATTGTGAAAGCTGCGCCCCGAAGAGGAGCGGAGAGTGGTGTCCCCGGCTGGGGGCTGCACGCATCTCCCGGTGCTGAAGCTCTGGCATTATCTTAGTGTGGGGCGGGGAGGGCCCTGGATTTGGGGCCAGTGGGGGTGGGAGGGGAGGAAGACCCGAAGGGGAAAGGACTCTGTGAGGGAGTCGGTGAGAGACTATGGGGAAGGACCAGGAGCTGTTGGAAGCTGCTCGCACTGGAAATGTGGCTCTGGTGGAGAAACTCCTGTCTGGCAGGAAAGGAGGGATCCTGGGCGGTGGATCCGGACCCCTGCCCCTGTCTAATCTGCTAAGGTAAGGACTGGAGCCGGCTCCGGGTCTGCACACCTCGTTGTGCATCGTGATGGTTACGTCCTGCGCCTCATGGTTATTGCACCTGGTGGCTGCCAGCGATTCATTCTTAAATTAGGTAGGAAAACAGAATGTGTGTATGGAGAGGAGGCATGAACCTCCCAGTCAGATTGATGCCTTAGATTCTTTGAGTAATTTTAAGATAGCCTTCCATCAATGCGTCGGTAGCTACTTTTCTCTGAGCTGTGGTGCAGAACTTACACATGTACTAGTGTTGCTGGAAGAATTTCTGCGTTTCACCCTCTTTACATCAGTGTTTATTATATATTTTCTGCTTCGAACCCGGCCTTTTTTTTTTTTTTTTGTCTACTTAAATGAAATTGGCAAAGAAGTATTGCGTGCGTGCAATTATCCTGCAAAAGCCACAGCCTTTGGTTGCTGCTACCCTTCCCTTGCAGAAGGCATTTGCTGTTCTGTGGGATATGATCCCACAAAATGAAGAAAGTGAACCTTCTGATGAGATGTCATCAGTACAGGGTGTGTGTAAAACTTGATGAGGCAGGTTAGGCAGCCCCAGCAGTACTTTCAGCCACCTGGACATGGCTGAGTGAAACTTGGTTATTATATCTCAGGATGAAGGATGCCAGGTCGGGATTGGGAAAGTGTATATGGAATATAGTAGAGGCCTTTTAATGGGAAGGTGTTCCAGGTGAGACTAATATTGCTTGGAGAATCTTTCTAAGATGACATTTAAAAAAATGTCAAGGTCTTTATTCAGCAGGCAGTACCTTGGAAATAGCAGTGTTGATTTGCATGTTTGAAAAAACAATTAACTTAAAAGTTGAATTGATGGGCAAATGAAATCAGTTGTGAGGGAGGAAGCCTGAAGAATATTCACTAGATAAAATTCAAGGAAAGCTATTTAGTTTTTAAAATCATGGCTATTCAGTTTACCCTGGATATTTTTGGAGGCATCAATCATCATTCATATCTTTACCCTAAAACATCTCTTAGACAGCTCAGCTGTACTTTAAAAAATTTTATAAGCTCAAGTGATTTTCTTGGTTTTTAAAAAATGTTTCTTGCTACTCTTGACAGGTGCTTAATACAAACTTTTGGGTGATGACATTGTGTTCTTTACACAAGTTTTCATATGTTGTGGTGGTCAGATAAAGCAGTTATTTACAGTCCTGGCCAATAGGGTAAATGAGAATATTTCTATTACAGTGTAATGACTTTAGTTGGAAAATAGTTGATAGGATTTTAGAAAACTCCAAGTGATCATCTATACTTGTTGACAGTGACATTTTATTGGAATGACAGTTCACTTCAGAACAATGAATATTTATGGGACATTTTTTTCATTAAGTCTTAGAAGTGATGACTCTTGTGTGTACTCCCTTGTTGAGTAATTTTCACTTTCAATCAGAAGTAGATGGCACTTTTCATTTTTTCTACATCCTGTAGAACCTTGACTCATTTTATTATCTGGACTGTTGCCATGTCACTGTTTTAATTTTTCAAAATAGCTCAGCTCTCTGTAACTCCATCAGGGATTTTGAATCTAATAATGCCAGCCCTTCCAGATTGCTCTCTTTAGGAGATATGAGGGAAAGGAGATGTAAGGTGAAGGACTGAGTTTGGATGTCATTGCTGTTGTGAGTATGTATGTCTTCTACAAAGACTGGCCAAAGAGCTAAATCACATCCTCCAAAAATTTTTTTACAAGTATCAAATTGAAATATGTTTTTAAAACATGTACTTCAAATTTCTTTGTATATTTCTCATTTGGCTCTATACTTTGGACAAAGAATAGAGTATCATTTATCATTTCTAATTTTACTGATGATACAAATAAGGGTCAAAAGAAAGTTAAGTACTTCTGGTTTTCAACTGTGGCACGTAAAGAGCTTAGAAATCATAACAAAAAATCACAATTAGACAATGTGTAATATTTCAGATTATAGCTCTAGTAATTGCCCTTAGTCACAGGTAGTGTATACAGAAGCAGTTTATTTGGCTATAGTTTTAAATTGCAGGTAAAATAAGTATGTTTGCCAGTGGGCCATATCAGAGATAAAAATAATTGTGGCTAGAAACCTGTATCCTGAAAGAGGTTTCTAAAAATAATCAATTTCTTTGGAAAAACACTAAAGAATTCTTTGAGAACAGTGAGAATTTTGGTTACTTTCATTGAGCTAAATGGTGTTTTAAAAAGCTTATCTTTGTGTTAGAACTTAAAGGTAAACATCTTTTAAATACCTTCTCAGTTGTGCCATTTAAAAAAAGAATAGATGTCAGATTTTAGGAATAGAATAGCAACTATTTAATGTTGGTAAACATAAATAAAACACCAAAATTTTGACCCCAATGTACTTCTTGAATGAGAGGTTTTCTCTTTTGCTGGTTTTGTCAGAGGTAGCAATAGTAGCTCTACAATGAGAATGCACATAGAAAACAAAACAAAACAAAACAAAAAACCTAAAAAAAGTGTGTTCATTAGAGTAGTTTGAACCAAGCTGTAAAACATCAAAATCAAAACCAATAACCTTTAAACTTGCATTTATCTATCTCATACTGAATAAATAACTAAAACAGTGCCTTTGAAGAAAATGAGAATTGAAATTACATTCTTTTGGTGATCCTTTGCATAAAATGAAATTCCTAAGAAGGCACATTTTATTTAGTTGTCACTTTATTTCACAAATGATTGTCATCAAAAGTTTATTTACAGGATAATAGGTAATTATCCCTTTTCCTTCAAACATAATGGCACTTCAAAATTTTAAACTATTTTGGAATGAATTGTGGAATAGGTTTGGTACTCCCCTGCCCTACTTTATTACTTGTGTTGGGTAGTAATAGGGTCGGAACCTGTGCTAAATGCGTGTGTCATCTCATTCAATTCTTGTATCAACCTTAAGATGTTGGTCCTCATTTCTTAGATGAAGGACTAAAGAGATAGGAAGATTAAGAACTTGCCTAAGGTCACATAATTAGTAATGGCAAAGATTTTAAGTTCTGTGATTCAGATTTGCCTTACTGCGTCTTAAGTCTTACTCACTGAATCTGTTTTATTTGCAAAAGTTTAAGGTACATGGCCAGTTAGATAGTCTAATCTGAACACTTTTTTGCTATGAATAATAATTTAATTTAAAAATCCTTAAATTTTTTTTTTTTTGCTTAAAAAAACCCCCAAAACAACTTGTAACTGCCCTTTGAGGGATCAGTAGATAAAGACTTTTCTGAAGATGCTTTTGATCACATATTACCTACTAAGTGAGCAGTAACTGTATGATGGGGAGTCAGGTATGTTTGGGTGACACTGTGGGTTTTAGCAGTAGTAAAAATGACCTTGAATAAATATAAATATGTTTCTAAGCCTCACTGTGCTCTTCTATGAAGTGGAAATAGTAATAATACCTATCATATAGGGCTGTTGTAAGGATTAAATGATGTATAAAGAAATCAATGCACATTGGTATTCATCATTGTGCCGTTATTTCTCACACAGCTTTAAAGTACTTGACTTTATTTCTTCTTTTTTTTCATTTTAGAAAGCTCTAATTTATTAGTAAACCTTCCCTTCCCTTCCACTGAGCTGAAATCTTCCTTTCTTGAACTGCTGCATTTTGTTTTTAGTTTTAAATTTTGGAGCTTTCCAGAATAAATTTAATCTGAACTTCTATGTAACAATGCTTCAACAATTTTAAGGTCTTTATTGCCACCTCTTCCTACTTTCATTATCAAGACTAAATATCTCCATTTCCTTACCATTTTGTTGACTGTCTGTCTTAAGGCCTTAATTACTAAGGGTTTGGCGTTACATTATACTAGGAGTAAATTTCTGTAGTAAGTTTTCCATTAGAATCACAGAACCTTAAAATAGAAAGGGGCCTTTTCATCCAACTTCTTACTTAGAGAATTTACCTCTAGCATCCTTTACCAGTTATTCCAGTTCTGTTAAACCCTGCAATGGCTAGATCCATCCATTCCATTTTTGACAGCTCTAATAATTAAAAAAATTCATCTTTTATTGAGCTGAAATTCACCTCCCTGTAATTTCCAGCAGTTGGTACTAGTTTGGCTTTATGAGTCAATACAAAGTAGCCAGGGCAGTTCTTTAGCTAATATTTAGCTATATTGTTTTCTTATAAATCTTTTTTTTTTCCCAAGATTTTAGCAGCCTGTTGTCATGTGACAATAGAGCATAGGTGGTAAGAACTTACATTTTTATACTTTTCACTACCCTCTTTTTCTTCTTTCATATTCTCAAATTTTTCAATGACTCTCTTCAAATGTGGTGACCAGAAATGAACAAAATGCACTAGGTGTCATTTGACCAGTGTAGAATATACTGGGATATTTGAATTAAAAAAAACAGCATTTGTAGTACGATCCTTTTCTTTAACAAAGAATAAGTGTGTGTGAACATTTATACTGTACCTTAAGAAGTCTGGAATGATAAACACCAAAATGTAAATAGTATTCTTTGTTGAATGGTGGAATTGTGGGTGATCTTCATTTATTTAGGCTTTTCTGCATTTTCCAATATTCTACAGCGAACATGTATTGTGTAATGAAAACCTCTAAAGAACCTCTCTTCAGGTTGGTATAAATTTAAAAATGGCAATCTTTATGCTTGGTCTTCCTACTAACATCAAAGCCACTTAACAGAACTATTAGCCAGCTGTTTCTCTCCAATATATCTGTTTGAATATTATGAGGTATTTTATCCATTGCCTTTCTATATTCACATTATGTTCTGTTTGTCATTCCTTTGATCTACCCCTGTAGTAGTAAGTCTATAAATTCCAGGAAAATTAAGCTACTTTGTTATAGCTTGTTTCTGATGGTGAACCATTGATGATGCCTAGTATTGTGCAAATTCCTTCTACCCCCTTGCTTCTAATTCTTTTGGGTCTGGATACTTAGATTCATTTAAAGCATCAGGGTCTCTTATGATCTCTGTCTTTTTGGAGCTTCAGTAATCTCCTAGCATT